GCCCGCCCTCAGCCTCCAGCCTCCACCCGCTCCCGGCTCACGGGCAGCCGGGGCTTGTGCCCTGTGCTAAGCTAGACAAGGCTCATCTGAGTGCACGTGCAGCTGTATGTCAAGTGCCACTTTGCTTATAATATGTAGAACCATAAATACTAACAGTAGAAGAAGTAGGTGTTCCCGCCCAAAGCGGGCCTGCCCACCTCTGGTCAGTTCCAGCTAAGTCATTGCTATCACAACAGAAAGAACGGACGTTTTGTTTGTTTGTTTGTTTCTATAATACATTTAGATTGTGGGAGGCCCATTTTGCCCTCCAAGTTCATATCCCTTAGTTTAGTTCCCTGAAATAAGTGCTTGGAGTAGGGGGAGGAGAGGAAAGAATACATGTATATATACACATATAGAATATGGGTATGTCATTATATATGCATATATTATGTAAATAAGTATGTAAGTGAATATTTACACATTTGTGACAGCCATATATTTGTACATGTAACTAAATACTAAAAATGTTTGTCAGATGTAGATATAATAAAGCATTGTCATTTGAAGACGAATTTTTTGCTTTGCTGATGGATACTATTGCATTCTGTTGGGTTGAACACCCAGCTCTAGATTCAACCCCCAAAATGTTTTATTAAGCATCTAATTGCACTGGTTTAACATTTGGGGAAAGGGGTCCCATGCTCCTTTGAGTGTCTTCCAAGGAAAATGCACATGGGTTTCTCAGATCTGTGGTCCCCATCTCCACCCCCCTCCCAGAGGTGTCCTCCTTCCTCTGCATTTCCATTTTCCTCTAAGAAAGGCCTTTCCTTTTTTTTTATTTCAAGAAATAAATAAAATAAAGTAAAATAACTAAAAAAAAAAAAAGGGCTTTCCTGACTTCATTTTTAAAAAGACCTTCACATTACTCTATTTCATAAAACCATTTTTATTTCTTCTCTGTACATCTCATGATCTTGTCAGTCTTATTTGCTTTTTAAATGATCTGTCTCTTTCCCGTAGACTATATAACCCTAGAGGAGGGCAGGGGCCTTTCCTGTCTAGGTCATTGCTGAATCCCATCACTTTAAATTGTGCTGGGCACCCAGTAGCAGCACATTAAATATAGAAGAATAATTGTAAGATTAGCCTATGCCTCTTTGGATATCTCCCTCCTAAGCGTGCTCCTCTTCAGACTGTTTTCTATACCACTGATCTAAAACAAATGCCCTCCTCATGCCCCAGGTAAAGTCCAAATTATGTAGCCAGGCTTTAAGCATCTGCTCATCACCTTTTCAGTGCCTACAACAGGGCAAACACATTAGACAGGCCCCGGCTGGGTAGCTCAATGCCCCATACCCCAAGGCTGCAGGTTTGATCCCATGTCAGGGCACATACAAGAAGCAACCAATGAATGCATAAATAAGTGGAACAGCAAATCGGTGTTTCCCTCCCTCTCTCTCCCAAGTCAATGAAAAAAAAAAGAAGAAGAAGAACACGTTACACATTTTGCAGTTTTTCTAAACACTCTCCCCCAGGACATACACTATGTTTACTTTTTCTATAATTGCTCCTCTTTTTTACATCCTCCCTCCTTTTGTCTGCTTAAGTCCTGTTTATGTAGATGTAGCTCACAAATCATCTTCCCTGATACCTCAGGAAGAATAAATTGCTACCTCTTCCAAGAACCCTATTTTGGGTTATATTATGATGACTTGTTTACAACTCCTTACTGTCACATTATAATTATACATTTACAATATCTCACTCATTTCAATGCTTTGAAGGCAAGACCTGGCCTTCTTCTAGCTAGCAGTGTGCTGGCATATTCTAGGCACTCATTAAATATTTGAAATAATTTACTCCAAAAATAACATTTGCTTGAGTGTATGATGTGGTTACTATGTGCCAGACATAATACTGAACATTTTATACAGATTAACCAATTTAATACTCTTAACAACACAATGAAGTTGATACTACTAGTTATTCCTATTTTATAAATGACTAAACTGAGACTAAAAAATGTTAAGCAACTTTTCCCAACTTACAGTTACTTGAAAAACAGTGAAGTGGCAAAATATTAGAGTTCATGAATTTCCAGCTAATGCTTTTTACAAATATATCTAGTTGGGAATTTTTGTTGTTGTTCTCCAGATAGGAGACAAGAAGTGTGTGTGTGTGTGTGTGTGTGTGCATGCATTTCACACATCTCCCATCTTTCTTGCTTCATGTTTCTACTTCTGCTTTTTTCTTTTGTTTCAGAACTTGAGCTGATTCTTGACCCTAAAGTCCCTCTGAGTTTGTCATCCATTAATACATCCTCTAAGATTCTTTTTCCCCCGTATTCCTAAAATCTTCCTTTCTCTGGAGAACTTTTGAACACTTTGACATCAGCCTCAAAATCATGTACCATCCCCGCACCTCCACTTGTTGAACTGATAGTTTTTAGCATTACATGTTTAAAATGATAGTGACAGGATAGTCCCTGTACAGTATTTATAGGGGAACAGTCATTCTAAGTGGTGAGGAGACAAGGTTAAGAGAGAGAAGAACTAAATGTGAAATGTGGTACTGTGAAATATAAGGGCAACAACTAAGAGAACAACGCCTTCTCCAAACTCTTGAGTATAGTTTGGCTCAAGTCCAGCCTTGAGAGCAAGGGGATTAATTAGAAGCGGGCTATTTTCCATACTGGGTCTGTTCCAGCTTTAACATCAGTTCTCGGCCCCAAAGCACACACCTTCCTTGTAGGTCATCCCAAGGCACTCTAAATTCAATTTTTAGTGGTAGCCTCAGGCTTCCACTGAAACCAGTACCTCTTTAGCTAACCCAATGGTGTAGGGTCATTCAACAAGCCCTTACATCAATTACAAGGAAGGTGGTCTGAATTGGTGGAAAAGAAGAAAAGCCTTGGGCCAGTCACTTAGTAGGTAAGCATGCCTTGCTGCCCACCTCAATTTCTCCTACTGTGACAAAGGTGACATACTGACCACCAGATAGCTATTTTGGAAAGCACTTTGATATACATTTTTTTTCATAGTCCAGGGTTATGCAAATAAATGCCAGTAATAACATTGTTTAGTTTTTATTTATTCTGGAGGGAAAAGGCTTCTGTTTCAGTCTACCTCTTTTGATACCTCTCATGTTTTTACGTTGCCCATTTACCTCCCTTTGTTTTTCCCTAGATTATTGCCAAGGTCATGGCTGGTCATATATTACAATAGAGTCTTCTTCAGTGTAATTATGTAAATACTAGAGGCCTGATGCATGAAATTCGTGCAAGAGTAGGCCCTCCTTCCCCTGGCTGCCAGCACTGGCTTTCCTCTGGCACCCGGGACCTGGGCTTCCCCCCAGCTACTGGCAGGGACCCAGGCTTCCCTCGCAGTCCCAGCTTCGTCCGGAAGGACGGAAGGATGGACTCCCAGTCTAATTAGCATATTACGATTTTATTATTATAGATTTTCAGAAAATCAGGATAATATTTTCCAATTAATAATATGCATTTTTGTTCTCATGTAGATGCTAAGTGAGTGGGGAACATTTCAATTCAATTATGAGCAGTTTGTATTTAGTGGCTGATTTAGCTAACTTGTTTTTTATTCCCTTTGTCTTTCAGTCATAG